TAACATACAGGTACAACAAATATTAAACGTCTGATTAAAACAATATACATTTATTTCAAAGAGCCAAGATGAAGACTCTCAAATGATGACAGAAGTGGACCTGTTTATCTCCACCAAAGCTGTCAAAGTGCTGAATGCTGACACACAGGTTAGTAACTCCCTTGTGTGTTAAATCTAACACATAAGCTTCCCTTGTGTGTTAAATCTATATAACTGAGTAGTGATTGCCATTATTGTTGTTCCACGCAGGATACAATGATGGACAGTGCCTTGCGGACCATTTCCTATATCGCAGACATTGGCAGTATTGTGGTTCTGATGGCTCGGAGGCGCCTGTCTCAGGCCTCATCAGAGGATTTTTCAGAGTCTCCTGACTCTGCTGGTGAAGGGAAGAGTCAGTATAGGATGATCTGCTATGTCTTTGAGTCTGAAGATGTGAGTATTTGCTGCTACACTGAAAATACATTTTGAGTTTTGAGTATATGCCTTAGTTTTATATTACAGTAGATGTTTGTTCCGAGGTGTCTATAACATTGTCATCTTTCCCACCTCCTTGCTGTTGTCAATTGGGATAGCCTTTCTGCTGAGTAGTTTCCCCAAACTCTCCCCTTCCCACAGGCTCAGCTCATTGCACAGTCCATCGGTCAGGCCTTTAGCGTGGCCTACAGAGAGTTCCTGCGAGCCAACGGCATCAACCCGACCGACTTGAGCCAGAAACAATACAGTGACATCATCAACTCCCAGGAAATGTACCACGATGACCTCGTCCATTTCTCAAACTCAGACAACTGTAAAGAGGTTTGAAGTTTTTTCATTATGGCTTCAGGTGATTTGTGGATGAGAACAGATGGATTTCCCTCCACATCATTCACTGTACTTCTAAACCCTGGCATGTGACATTCAAAATGTGCTTAAAAATGATTGGAAATTCTTTTTCTTGGTTCCAGCTGAATGTGGAGAAGCAGAAAGGGGAGAGTCTTGGTGTGGTGATTGTGGAGTCTGGGTGGGGCTCCATCCTGCCCACCGTCATTCTGGCCAGCATGCTGAACAGCGGCCCTGCAGCTCGCTCTGGAAAACTCAGTGTTGGGGACCAGATTATGTCCATCAATGACACAAGTCTGGTGGGTCTGCCACTGGCCACCTGTCAGGGCATCATCAAGGTAACTCATTAGGGATTTAACATATTCCCATCTTCCTTTAGTCTTCTAACGAAATATCACTAAACAATTTCCTATAGTTGTTTGCAAATGCTACTCAAACTGGAGCGAATAGTGCATTTATTTAAATTATGTAACTTTTTATTTTTTATTATATATTTTTTTAATTATATCATAACTTAGTACTTTTTTTAAATGCATGTCACATATTTAACATATATAACATTAAACTGTCTGTGGCTCTTTTTCCTGCTGTAACTACGCACATTTCTCCTCCGTGGGACTAATAAAGGTATTCTGATTCTGATGATTTGTTGGAGACTAGTATTATTATTTGAGCAGTAGAAAGGATCAACTTAAAATAAACTACATATTACATGTTTTTAATGTGAATTTAAACACTACTAAAGGAATAAGGAATTTGGCTACAGGTATTACCCATCAGTAGGACGAATTCATTTTGGTTTTGGAATCCTAAAATCGGTTTTTATTCTTCAGGGTCTGAAGAACCAGGTGAAGGTAAAGCTGAGTATTGTGAGCTGCCCTCCTGTCACCACTGTCCTCATCAAGAGACCTGATCTCAAGTTCCAGCTTGGTTTCAGTGTGCAGAATGGCATTGTGAGTAAGCCTTTGTTGGTATGAAGCATGGCACTTTAGGTTAAGGCTTTGGCAGCTTCTGAAGAAAACCACTGAGTTTAAAAGAGTGAGTCTGCTGTAAACTATGCCGTTTTTCAACCCTCAGATCTGCAGTCTGATGCGAGGTGGCATAGCTGAGCGAGGCGGTGTTCGTGTTGGACACAGGATCATTGAGATAAATGGTCAGAGTGTTGTTGCCATGGCACACGAGAAGATTGTTCAAACCCTGTCTGTCTCAGTGGGTGAGGTAAGAAGACATCATGCGACAAGATGGCAATTGTCACTGATTACTGCCCCACACAAGTCTCTGTAGCATAAAGGCCTTTCAAAATGATGCCTTCAGATTAGAGATTAGTTCAAGGCACAGAGTTGTGGTTACATAAATTACTACTACTTGCATTTCATCAATCAAATACATCTTTACATTTGGTTTGGGCTAAATTGTTGGCTGAAAAGTGTAGCAGCAGATGAGTGGTACACAATTAAGCATTATTTAATTTCAGGCTTTCTACTACACTATACATTTTAGGACACAAATCTTGTTTTTTAGCTCAAATGTACAAATTAAAGTTAATATCCTCATCTACCCTTAGTTGGATGCTTTGATTCAAAAAACAGTTTTGGGAAATCTGCTTATTTGTTGTTCTTGCTGAGAGTGAGATAGGAAGATCGACCTGGCTGCTTAGCTTAGCTTAGCATAAAGACTGAAAATAGGGGGACAAGCTAGCCTGGCCCTGTAACACATACATCCACCTACAAACAACACTGAAGCTAATGTATTATCATGTCATATCTTGTTTGTTCACTACACATTTAAGTGTGAAACAAAACCTCAAGGTGACGACAAGGCTCACGGTTACTAAGCCAGGGAATGGTCAACCACAAAAACCTTTGTAAAACCCTGATGTTTAATTTCTACCGTTGGGTATTTGAACAGATTAAAAAACTTGACACAACTTGTTAAGAAGTGAGCTCAGAGGTGCAGGTAGGTGTATTATGTCACCTTTGGAAAGAGCAATGCTAGCTGTTGACCTTGTTTCTAGTCTTTTTGGCTAAGCTAACTGAAGGCTAGCAGTAGCTTCATATAATACAGATGTAAACGATGAGCAATATCATCACCTAATTCTCAGCAAGAGAGTGAATAAGGATGCCTTAAATGTTAAGATTAAAGTCAGAGCAAAACAATCGGATTATTTTTGTGAACAGTTTATTACAATATACAAAGTGTATTATTAGGTCAGTTTTCTTTAGGCTCTGTGGGACTAATAAAGGTATTCTGATTCTGATTAATCAACCATTCTTGGTCAGATCCATTACTTACACATTTACGACGATGTGAACATCGTGTGATGTTATTGTGAGATTATTTGCCCCTATTCATCACAATATATGTCTCCATTAAAGCCATTGAAGCATATTCTTTGTCAGTAATTGATTCAAGGTCTCCTCTGAGTTTCTGGTGTCACAGAAGGAAGTCAATTAGGCCAGGATTCAAGTGATTATGACTCTATAAACGGACCCTTAAGTTGACAGTGTAATTGCCCCCCCCTCCTCTCGTCTCTGCCAGATCAACATGAAGACGATGCCTGCCGTGATGTTCAGACTGCTGACGGGACAGGAGACGCCCCTCTACATTTAGAGACCGTGCATGGATCAGCCCACTGTAGCTCTGCATGTCTGGCTGGGTGGAGGCGAAGGGCAGATGATGGACAGGTGGCTCAGTGGGACGGGGAGATTTTATTTTTCTATCATTTTATTTTCCCGGCCTCTTGTTGCAAAGCTGTAAAGAACATCCGGTTCTCATTTTCAGGTTTTATCTTGAATTACATTGTCATAATGGCCTTACAATGTGAATACTCTGTCTGTAGTACTGTACGTAAGTTTCTGGTGTTGAAGAGAAGTAGCTTTAAGGTCACGATTATTTTCTTATGAAGAGATAAATTAGTACATTTATTTTTTATTTAGTCATTTTTATAATGTGTATGGAGTTTCAAAATGTACTTATACTGTAAATACTTTGGACTACTCCAGGACTTGGTTGGAAAGGCCATATTACTCCTACAGTATATGCATGTTATTATGAAGAATTACTGACCAGGGATTCTTTCTCAATCTGACATGATAATCTATAAAAATAAGTATTAAAAAAGGATAATAATATGCTGTACAAAAGCTTTGTGTATTATGGTGATGCTGAAGGCCAAAGACACAACTACTTTTCAAAGACTTACAGAATCCGTGATCATTACCTTTACCAGAGCAAACAGTACAAGAATGTATCAAAATATACATTTCTGAATGAATGTAATGTTATAACACTAAGAATACAATCTCACTGATGAATGTTTGTTGTTGTTTTTTATTTTATTGAGGTGTTGCAGCAAAAAAGTACTTACAATAACACAAGACATACATTACATTTGCATGGTTTGAGGTTCCCTATTATGCTTTTCAGGGTTTTCCCTTTCCTGTAGTGTGTTATATAGGTTTATGTGCATGTAAATGGTCTACAAAGGCTAAAATCTCGAAGTTCCCTCCAGAAGGAGTTTCTCTCCCACTCACTCCCCCCGATGCCTGAAACGCCTCCATTGGACTCGATACTTACGTAACATAATGACATCACTATGTTACACTCACGCTTCTATTTGCTAAAACACATTGTTCGTGATTAAGGGGCGGGACATCTATAAGCGGTTGACCAATCACAACAGAGCCGGCCTGCTAACCAATCAGAGCAGACTGGGCGCTGGTTTCAGACAGAGGGTGAAAAGAGGTGCTGCGGCACAGGCAGTATGAGAAAAATAAAGAGCTTTTTCAACATTAAAGCATGTAAACATGTCACAGTTGAGGCACTATAAACAAAATAAACCTGAAAATTAGCATTATAGGGCCCCTTTAAGATAATATTATTCTTTGCTACTTATTCTACTTCTCATCTTTTCACATTTATTTGGATCTTAGAAGCTATGAAATAAGGATGCTTCAACCCACAGGAAGTGTGCTCAAAGTAAGCCACATTGTTGCCATGGCTATGTGCATGCATTTCATGAATTCTGAAGAAAGTCGTCAAATTAATGATTTGTCTCGTCTTTCATTTGAAATGAACGAAAGGAAGTTGAACAATGACAGATTCCTTATTGATCAGTTTATATACATACTGCATGGATCCCATACAACTTCATATACTGTTCCTACAACTATTGCAACATGCCATTAAACTTCACAAATACAACTATGTACAGTTCAATGATGTATAACACTTCACAGGCTCACAAAGATAATTAAAACAGATGAGAAATAAGACACTTAATCTGTAACACATTCAGCAAGAAATATCTTCAAGTATTGTCTGGAAAAACTCCCTGAGGGAAACCAAGACAGCGTCATATATGTTCCTAAAACACAGAAACAAAATCATCTCAGTCACAGTTAAGCAGAGAAGGAAATACCTTTCTTAAATGTTATAGATGAACATAAAAGTGCAACACTCAGCTCTAAGGATTTTGTTGCCATGGTGGCTATAATAGCAGTGATTCATTATATTTCAAGATGGCGCAGAGTTGAATATGTATTCTGCATCATTAAATGTATATCAAAGTCAAGTCTCACAGCAAATTCATAGAAGGTGTCAAAGGAGGTATTAAGCTCTAATTATTGCCACCTTACCTCTCTGACTTTTGATGACAGCGGTGAAATTGTCACTCCATCAAGAAACACTGCATTAAGGTAGCCCTCCCCATAAGAAACATCCTCATCTTCATAACTGTCGACACTAACACTGAAAGCCTCTTTCATCTTCTCTGGTATGAGAAAGTGCAACATCGTCACCAGAACACCGATGATGGTGCACAGCAAACCTGAAAAACATTTCCATTAGTAGAAATCTTCACAGCTGTTTGAAAATCTACAGTTTAAAACATACAAACATATTAAATAAATGTTAAGCCTATTATCTTCACCTGTAGCCAGAGCCAGCCAGAATGAATGGCTGTACTGTGCTTCAAATGAATTGGATCCTATGGAGAACACACACTGAGGTGCGTTCATGATAGTGGAGAAAGAAGCCATGGCGAAGAAGATGAAGGCAGCGGTAGCCATCATCATGTACCCAGCGTACAGAATGACCGGCATGGAGAAGAGGATATTGGCGAGAATCCAGCAGCAGAAAGCCGTCCTGTGAAAGTGTGCAGATGTTTTGATTCAACTACTTTTACGACCATCTGCTTAAACTGACAGTACTTTAAAACTCCAAAATGTATGCAGTTATTTAATGTTACCAGAGGGTTGCCGAGGCGTATCGGCCAGAGTATCTGTACTGAAAGATGAGTCCACATGGGTTGCTTATGGTGAATTTCTCAGCGATGTACAGGATGGGGTTGGGTAAACCTTTCTCCAGAGCTTCCTCATACTCTTCTTCAATAGTGTCATGCCAGCTGAACATCTCATTGTAGTCTATGGTCTCATTGAACTGTACAATGGGATTCCCTGAGAGAGAAAACAGGATTACATTTATGACAACTAAATCACACATTTCCCACAAAAGGGTGTTGTAGTTTATATGTTTTATGACAGGAATATATTATCAGTCTTTTGAGTGAACATCTGGATTTTTATTTAACCTTTATTTAACCAGATAAAAGCATCAAGATTAAAAGATCAAAGTTGCTAGGGTAAGCAATCAGTGTATGAGTGTATAATACACATTTCTGCACAACAGCAGCCACACTGACTCACCCTTTAGTGTCACGTTGATACCGTACAGCCCAATATGCAAGCCGATGTCAGCATTAACCACTGCGTCGCTGAAAGACTTATAGGTGGCATTAGTGGTCATTCTTGCCTCAGCCCAGTCGTCGGTGTAGTTGAGCGCTGCAGAGAAAAGACACAAAGGTGAAGGATGTTCGCACGGAAAGGAAAATCTTTGTGATTTATTCAACGACAGTGATAAGAATACAAAACTCACCCACTAACACTGCACCTATGAACAAGCTGGTAACTATTCGAATCATCCAGAACAGCCTCTGATTGGAAAGTAGTTCAAAACTATTTAATGTACATTGAATTAAAAAGGAAACAATCATTCTGAGATGTTTGCAGTGAGTAAAAGTGTATCTGATGCTTGAAACTCACCGACTTCCCTCGTATCCCAGGCAAAATGATAAGAAGACTGGCTGCTAGCAAAAGAAAGACTATAATTATTGTGATCAAACGGCCACTGAAGAGGAAGGAGGATCTTTGTAGAGGGTAGAATGGGTAAATGTCATCGAAGAGAGTCATCTTAGCGCTTCAGCTGAGACTAGAGAGTTTAACAGAGAAGACAGTGTTAGTGGAAGGGTTCTCAGTTTCCTCCAGATACAGAGATAGCTGCTCTTATTTCTTACAGTAAGGATGGGACAATAATGCAACACGCCACTTAATTGAGTAAAACGTCTGACTCTTGAGTAATATGTCTGACTCATGTAATTTCATCTATATTCCCTGGTACTGCATATCTTTATTGCAAATAAATTAATCAGTGTAATGCACAAAGCTGTGCAATTGTATACATCCACCTGTTCTATTAATTGTAATGGATTCATTTGAATCAATGTGACAAACAAAACCAATCAAAGACACACAGAAAAAAATACAAAAGGTCTTTCTTACCCAAAGGTTGAAAGATGAGGACCGCAGAAGAGTGTGAATGTTGAGGAAACATACACTTCTTTTATAGTGTCGGCCCCCCTTTGTGAGGGGGAGGATGTATTGACAAGCTGGGGAAAAGAGGAGTGATCCAAACATATGACCATTCCCATTTAGGCAACACAGGTCACATGCAGTTTGTGAAAATCTATGCAACACATGAAGGCTTTACTATTGCACCATCCCTCAACTGTGCCTCTTTTTGCGACTACATTATAGCCCCTGCACTGGGTAAGACTCAACTATTTCATCTTCTCCTAACAAACACAGAGTGATACAAGAAACAAGTCATTATCTTTGGATGTCTGCAGTTTGCAGGTAAGGCTAACAGGAACATATTAAAAGTTGTATTACGTTTTGGTGTGTTAAAGCAGAAAAAAGGTTGTAAAATTAAATGTCCTGCCTTTTAAATATATGCTAAACCAACAAAGTATATTTTAAAGGAAATGTAATAGTAATTTGAAAGAAAATTGTAATTTACCTTCACCTTGTCTTCACTTTTCAGAAGTCCTTCACTCCTCTTGGCTGCAGACTGAGCAGAGCAGCATCTCTCGCATCAATGGATTTGCGTAAATGGGTTTTGAGTGTCTGCGCAGCGGTTGGCTTGGTGCTCATACTCAGTGAACGTAAGTAGACAGTAGTTGTGCTTCATACTCAGGGTCACATAAAACAGCTCAGTTAATCTCGACATGTCTTGAACAGATTCACGCTGTGAAAACACCTGGGAGGTTCCTCGTTTTGACGGCTGGTACAACAGTTTAGGGAATCCTAAACGCGGAGCTGTCGGTGAGTTACAGAGTTTTACAAGTTTGCAGCAGCAGCCAGCAGCAGCAGTACAGTAGCGTGCAGGCTGCCAGAACACCTGGGTCACTTAACTGTGTGTGTGTGCTCGTGCAGGCTCTCACCTTGTGCGCCTCGTGCCCGCGGAATACTGGGACGGAGTCTACCAACCTGTCTACGAGCCTCTGCTGCCAAACCCCCGCAGACTGAGCAGCCTGCTGACCGGGGGGGCCTTCCGGTCGGCCCTCAGCACGCAACCAGACCGTGCTCTCCCTGTTCTTCGGTAAATATATATCATGCATGTTGTTACATTGAAGTGCACCTTCAAGAAACGCAGTCAGAGATACATGACTGAATACAAATTGAGGCAACAAGTACAACTTATGAGAATGCACCAAAATGACGACATGCTATTTTCAACTTAAATCTTACCGAAAGTGTTGCCCACGATTTTAAGGTATTACTTTCATTGTTGCTAATGTAAACGTAGATTTAAATGCAAACTCCTAGGCATAATATTTTAGAGAAGCATATTCTAAATTAAATTAGATATTTGCTGATATTAAACCATTAATATGACATCATTTCTTTGTTTGTAAGTGAACATAACACAACATTCAGGTACCAACCATGTAAGTGTTTTCGTAGTTTTTTGGATTTTAATTGTTATTTTTTGTACTTTTAAGGTTATCATGTTTCGTTTGACATTTTTGACTCGAGAACACCTGGATGTCCGCCTGAGTTTATGAACATCCCAGTCCCAAAGGGGGATCCTGTATTTGACCCCACTGACACCGGGAAGGTCCTGCTGCCCTTCCAGAGGGGATTGTGGGACAAAGAGTCCGGCCAGAGTCCCAGTAACCCTCGCACACAGGTATCAGTATAAAACGGAAGGTTTGTTAATGGTATCCCCATAATGCTGCCTCCATATACAACTGATAAACCTGAACACTATAATGTCCAATAGAGCACACAGATTTGATCAAACAAATGCAACATGTGCAGGTGAACTTGGTGACAGCATGGATAGATGGCAGCTCTATCTACGGCCCCTCCAGCTCCTGGTCTGACTCCCTGAGAAGCTTCTCTGGAGGGCTCCTGACTTCAGGCTCTGAGGGGAACATGCCATATCAGGCAAAAGAACCAAGTCTCATGTGGAGCACCGCTGACCCCTCTACAGGAGATCATGGACCAAAAGGCCTTTATGGTGAGAAACTTCAGAACTGACCGGAAACATAACACCATTTGTAAATAAGTAATATTATTGAATCAGTGAGTCAGCAGAAAGTGGGGTCAACATCGAGGGCATCTTATAAATACATCAGCACTGCTATTAGTTGCAGAAAAGTGCACTTCACTGACTGTTTGTCATTGATTTACTCGAGAGCACGGTCAAATATAATTTCCTCTGTACCTGGAGTGCAGTACCTCCAACCTTATAGTTAAGTGTGATTTATTGAAGCAGGAATGTTGGCTGGAGCTCAATACCAAAACTGGGGAGCTAAGTAGAATTTAATTTATGGCCTTTAAGGCCCAAACTCAACAGCAATGTATTTTTCTAAGTTCACAATAGACCACAGCTTTGCCTGTAGAAATTCTCTCCTCATTAAAAGAGTATTTGAACTTAAAAGGAGTTTATTGTGACACTTGCATACAGGTTAAAAAGTGCATATAATAGATCTCCAAATCTAAGCAAATTACTCTACTCTAAAACCTGCATAAACTTCCCTCAATATGAGATCAAATAGGTTTGTGTGTGTGTGTTTGGCTGAACTACAGCTTTAAAACAATCTGGTTTGTGAAATATTCAGTGTATGTGGTAAATGGTAATAGTACCACCTAATCGATACTGCAGCAGAAACCAAGCTGCAAGACGTTCTTGCAAATATTATTTGCGCCACGTCTGCTTTGATCAGTGTTGCAGCCTGTGAGGCTTAGTCCAGAGAGGCCCTGCTTGACGTAAGTTATGACTCTTTAATTATTGTGTTAATGGCTTGTGAGGCTCACCACAGTAAATCCCTCTCTGTATAGCATTGAGAAGCAGTGCAGTTGTCATGACACAAGTGTTTTGTTGCTAGTGTTGTTAAAAGTCTGTCGTAATTATGTGGGAGAGAGGCGGAAGATTATCTGCTGTTGTCACCGCTCTGCTGCTGCTTCCTTCAAAACAAACCGATCATTTATCATTACATTAGTGTTCAGATATCCTCATCAATCAATGCAATCAGATTGTCACACTGCACTTTCCAGTTTCTACACCACTCTGTATAAAAACATGTCACATATACAACCTAGTGTGTGTTTCTCAGGTTGTAGCTGCAGTGATGTGAATTCATATGATGGAAAAGCAGAATTCCCTATAATTTGTGCCATCTTCTGTGTCCAGAGTTGGGAAATGCCTGGGCCAATGAGAACATGTTCACGGCAGCAGAGGGGATTATCTGGTTTCGCTACCACAATTATGTAGCCTCCAAACTGCATGAGGAATACCCAGCGTGGTCAGACGAAAAGCTCTTTCAAAACGCCAGGAAGACCGTTGTGGCCAGCTTTCAGGTAGAAGGAAAAGTCTCCATGTAATCCTCTCGCTGCTCAGCTGCAGATTTAATTTGCACTTTGCAAAGAGTGAAGATGCATGTATGCCAGGTGGTCTTAATGTTATGGATTTATTTAATTGCGAATGCATCATCTCTTTCTTGTTTGATTAGTTGAGTCTGTCCACTGCAAAAACTGTCCTCAACACGTAGCTTCTCGTCTTATATTGAAAATTATACTCTACTATTTGCTATCAGATAATATTTTCCTCATTAAAATAAGAGTTTAATATATAAGAATAAACTATATCACAAAAAAGGATGGATATATCAAATGTAATGCAATCATGTTGGGTTTTAGTGTGGATGCTGCAATAACTTTTTCCCACCTTATTCTTCTACACAGAATATTGCTCTCTACGAATGGCTGCCTGCATATCTTGGAGACAAAAAGCTTCCTCCTTATCCAGGTAAGAGTCAGCCAGAGTGCGTGTGCGTACAAGTGGAGGGGAACAGGTAATGCACCGATGACCACAAGCCTTGGTGAGGTGAGCTATCGTTGTTGGTGTTTGACAAATATGTGCTTCGTCAGCAAAGCATCACCCTCAGTCCCCTTCTTCTGCTGAATAAGCAGCCGCTGCTGAAGAAAGTTAAAAGGACAAAGGGCTGATAAGACCAGCACCTTAATCACTCTTCATTTTATATCTATACTTATTTATTTTGTTAACGTTGACCATTTTGATTATGGTGTAGGTTGTTATTGATAGGGAATTTATTTATTTGGCCCTTAGTTTTGATTATTTGAGCCTTAACGTCTCATGTCACTCCTCTCTTTCTGATCACAGGCAAACAGCACTGGGGAAGCTGTTTATGATAAGGCAGGCCCTTATTTTGTGCATGGGTTTTACCAACAGCTGTGTCTTAGACATGACCATAAAACAATCTCTTCTTCAGTCAATAACAGGACATTTTGTGAGCGTCTTGTAGTATAATGTTAATTATGCTCTTAGGAGTGGTTAGGTATCAGGGACTGGGGAAGATAACTTCAAAGTTAGTTTGAGCAGAGGCTGTGTCACCACTGTGTATTAGCAAATGTTTCAATTCTCTGGCAGTATCTTCTAATACATCTTCAGTGTTTTACATCCATTTTAAGCTCTCCAGTGTCCTCCTTGTGTTTCCAGTTCTTTGCTCCAATAAATGTATCACAGTTATCATGCAGGAGGATTATTTCCAAGATAGATTATAAATTATAATGTTTTCTTATATTGTATGGTGTTATGCTCTGAT